CCGCAGTCTTTTTTTATGCTTTATTGTAACACAGGGTCTTGCTAAGTTGCTAATTGCCCAACCTAGGCCTGAACTTTAAATCCTCCTCCTTGGCCTCTAAAGTGCTGGGATTACAGATATGCATCACCATGCCTGACTAGGAAGCATTTCAGTGTTCCAAGCTAGGAAGCCCGGCTTGGCCCAAAGGTAATGAAGAACCTTCTGTCTGGCTTCTGACCAGAGGGCTGCTCTGGCAACAGTGATAAGGGTGAACGGCATTGTGATGATAACGAACACTAACTAATGAAGAGGCTATGCAGCACTCCGGGACATGACCAGGGTGGCAAATAGTGAGAGGGGACAGATGCATGAGTTACATAGGAGACAGACTAAATAGAGCCTGGCAATTAACCACATGTGGAAGAAGAGGGAGAGGCAGAGGAAAGGGTAGCTTTAGGGCGCTGATCTGAGCAACTGCTGTACAATAACCATGTACCCTAGGTAAGGGAAGACAAGAAGAGGTACAGGCATGGGGAAGATGACAGAGCATCAAGGAAGACATTTTCAAATAGGGCTTGCATCTACCTTGTTTGTGATGTGCGAACATAGAGGTCAGTTTAAATAAATCCTACTTCCTGTTTGTGAGAGGAAGTGACCTACATCTGAGGTCCTTGAGGTACTCATTGCTGTTCCCACTCTTAACCTTGGACCAAGTTCCCCTATGGATGGATATGCACAGCCATCACAGCAGGCAGACAGAGGTCGAGCCCAACACAGGAAATGCTTCAAGAAAGGGGACCAGTGATTTACACATAATTTCCCCCATGCAGAGCCAATAGGGAACAGCAATGTGGGAGTGAGGGAAGAACCCAGGATGTGGATCCTTGTGTTTGGAGAGAACGCTTCATTTAGACCTTTTTGGAGAATCAGGCTCAGCAAGATGAAAGGAAAAAGCAAGATCGGTTTTCTAAAATAGTTCCAAGTGACCAATGAGCCAAGGAGGAGTTGGCCAGGGATGAAGCACCACAAGAGGTAGGCTTATATTCAGAAGCTGACGAGTGGGCATGGGAGGGCAGGCAAAGGGACCTGGGAGTTGCCACAGGGATTCTGGGAAAGGATGGCCTTTGTCTAGAGGGCTCACTATGATTGCAGCTGCTCAGGTTTTCCAATGCAGAATCCAGAAACAGCAGCTCTGATTGGGAAGCAGGGAAGCAGGGAATCAGGGAAGGAGGGAACATGAGCTGGCTCAATGAATTATGCAGAGATCTTCAGGATAACAGGTGGAGAAAATGGGCATTCTGAAGCCTGAGCTGTCAAGCGAGGAAGTGAATGAAGAGATGGAGAGAGGAGGAAGGAAGCAAGAGGGGGTCCATAAGAAGTTGGGTGGCTTATCATATCCGTCTATGGGATGGCAGAAAAATAGGGCTCCAAATGTCTGAAATACTTGCAGGCCTTAAGAGGACACTGACATGATCAGAAAGGATCTTGTGACATTATTTGGCTACTCTTATTTCCTACCTCAAATATCTTCCTTTACTATTAAGTGCTGCAACATCAGACAACTAAAGATCCTGTAATACGTCATGACCAAGAAATACTGTTTGACTTCTTAGAAAAGTATGCTTCAACTGCTTTGCCTACCTGGATAACTCTCCTCTTTCAAAATCAACTTAAGATGTAACCTCCTCTAATCCTCACAATACCATGGTAATAGACTGCAACTGATTGAATATGGAGGTCACTCATCTCATGCTCAGAACACAGTCTTCTTGACACATGTGTGAGTGAATGGATGGATGGATGCTAACGTGGGGCTGGTCCCCAGATACTGGAGTCTGGCTGAGGTGTGGACATAGTAATTCATTTCTCTGACTGGTTTGTTTCTGGAGCCTTAGCAGTGGTTCACTTAGGGGAATTTTAACAGTGGAGATTTCCAGTAGTTTGGTGCTGCACCAGCACTAGAGTAACCTCCCAGCCTCCCTGGATTTCTACAGCCCACAAGCTACACCAAAGCTCAGCTCTGCAAAACAAGGGAGATAAAAACTGAGAGCTGTTTCTGGCAGTGCCAACCACACATCCTCTTCCACCCACCCATGGAGCTGGCCTCTCAGAGTAGGACCTGAGGACAAGTCTTAGACTGGTAGGAAGGACCTACAGAGGGACAAAGGAGTTGGGAAGATGCAGGAACCATGTGTTAGATGGGCATTTTCTGGAAGGATAATCCATACTACTCATCAGATTTGTGCAGGATTATCTGTAAGAGACATTAATCCAGTATTGTGTGTTATTCGACACAGCTCTGTCTCAGAACCAGCTGCTGACTCTTGATCCCAAAAGATGTGATTATCAGCAAGGGAGACCAGGGACAGAAATCCGGGTCCACACAGCTCAGTACTTACAGGTTCACATATCAGTGGGGGCGGGGGGGGGGGCCTTTATGAAGGTAGAATTCTTTGTGCAATTTAAGGATGTTTTGATCCACGTATTGTACAGTATCAAATGCAGTGAGTGAGAAGAGTTTGCCTTGGGATGCCTGTACACTGTTCCTTAGAAAAACAAATCTGACCAAAAAAAAAAAAAAAAAAAAAAAAACCAAAAAAAACCCAATCAGGTCCCCAGGGTCTCATTCCAGAGAAGTTCTATTTGACCCTGTTCTCTAAGTATTGGGCTCAGGAAACATTAATAAAGCGGCAAATCCTGCACAATGGCTCTTACAGCTGACCCTTTTCTGGCATAGAAGCATGTGGTAATAGAGACTGCAGAAAAAGACTTTCAGCATTAAAGAGTAAAGAATGCACACACATGCACATGCACATGCACATATACATACACATACACACACACACAGAGACACACACACACTCAGAGAGAGAGAGAGAGAGAGAGAGAGAGAGAGAGAGAGAGAGAATGAATCTAAAATCTGAGTGGCTTTGACCGAACTCCGGGGAATTAAGACCGAACTCCAGCCAGACTCCACTTTTTACCCACATCCTGCTAGGATATAAAAAACACAGGAAAAAGGCTTTTACCAAAATGTATGTGTTTTGCTCTTTTAAAAAGAAAATCGTAAATCACCCAGATATCTGAATAGCTCTGCTGGGTAGTTTTTTGTTTACTTGGTTCCTACTGTTCCTCCATGACTTCTGAAAAAATAATTAAAAAACAAATCTTTGGAGTGAATCCTTAAATCTCAGTGTTTAGAGCACATGCTTTAAACAGGTATGGGCTCTGCCACAGGCTTGCTAAGTAATGCTGCACAAGTTTCTTAACTGCTTTTAAGAACCTAATTCTTCAACAGTTAAAGTAGGAGCATGCAGAGTACTGACCTCAAAGGGTGGCTGGGAAATGAAAGGATGCAGGAGAAAGACTTGCCTAGCACACTGTAAACGTTCAATAAATTGTAGCTAGAGGATGGTGGCTGTGGAATAACTACTCTATATGAAGAAAACACGTTTGGTTGTTAGCATACTTGCTCTCACAGGTGGAAAAGAGAAACCCAGGAACTGCAGGACTGTGGTTCTCAATGGGGATCCCCCTCTTTGCACATGGGTCAGGGTGAGTAGACAGCCGCCTTTCTTTTATGTTACCTTTGGTCTGGCAGAGAAGTGATCCCACCTCCCAGCAATGACTTGGGTCATCTGTCCAGGCCCATGGGAAGGCCACAGCCTGGACATACTTCAATTTCTGAGTACCAGGGCTGGTGGGTCTCACTCCTCTTCCAGAAAGCCTTGGCTAGACATAGGCCTATACCCTGTACCATAACTGAATGGCCTGGACATCCTCCAAAGTTTATCTATGCCAGAAAATGGTATTTCTTGTTTTCTTTTTCTTTTATGGTACTAAGAATTGAACTCATAACCTGTTCTTGCCAGGCAGGCACTGTGCTGCTGAGCTATATCTCCCTACCCCCCACTTTTAGTGTAGAATTTGTCTAGTATCTATCTGTATGTCTGTCTTTCTGTCTATCTTTTTGGTACTGGTAATCAAACTCAGGACCTTGCATTTTCCAGGCAGACACTTATGTCACTGAGCTACATCCCCAGTCCTGAAAATGACATTTCTGAGTGCTTTTAAATTAAGAGAATTATCTTCCTTCAGAAGCTACTGAGGCTGAATTTTTATCATTATCCAAAAGTAGTTTTATCTATTTTCACAAGCTCAAAAAAATGTTTTGGCTTTATTTAAACACACACACACACACACACACACACACACACACACACACACACACACACAAAAGCATTAGCAGCCAGGGGAGTTCCTCTTTACTGCTGATGACCACTCTCAGTTTGCATGGAATGGCTTTTGCTCTAACTGGCAACCTCCTTCCTGATTGCTTCTATTTCAGACCAGACAAAACAATTTCAACAAATGTTCTATGCATATCATGGTTATGCATTCATATTAGATCTCTGGGGAGCCACTTATTAATCCCACTAAGGACATTTTCTCCTAACTTGTCTCCTCAATTGGAATCTTACTTTGTCTAAGATTTGTATACGGCTTTTCTTGTCAGTTTCTGCATTAAACTAAATTTTATTTTCTTCTAGTGAAACTATCTTCCCTACATGGAGGAAGAAAAGAAAACAGATTTCTGATTTAATTTTATTAAAGAAAGCTGATTGTATGAAAACCATCAGAGAGGTAAGTTAGGAGGCTCTAGATACCATTTCCTTCAGTATCTGGGAAGCATGGATATTGGGGAAGGTGGGATTGGGCAAGATGGGATTCTACATGTTCAAACTAAACACATATAAAGCCTGGCATGGTGGTACATGCTGTAGTCCCAGCACTCAGGATGCTGAGGCAGGAGGATTGTAGCAAATTAGAGACAGGCCTGGGCTACAAAGTGAGCTCAAGGCCAGCCTGAACTGCAGAGCAAGACTGTCTCCAAACAAACAAACAGACAAACAAAAAACCCAAACCATATCTAACTTCTACTCTTTTGATAAGTGGTAGCCAAAGGTTACATAATCGTGGATGACTTTCCAAAGGAAATGACAGCAAGGACACTTCCTTACCCGGCAGTCTCTCTGGAGTGTTTTCATGAGCGCATTGTACGTTTCTGTATCAAAATACAACCCTTCATGCATGTCTTGGAGGAAATCTAAGTCTTTAAACGTGGGGTTGGACTTTTCCCTCTCCTTCCGGGATGCTCTCCGCTTATAGGTGGAGCCTTTCAAGTCGTAGGTGAAGTGCATTCGCATGGAGCGCGGCAAGACGTTGTTCATCACCACAATCCTGATGTTGATGCCCCCCGACTGCATGCAATACAGGCCATAAAACTTGGGCAAAAGAGTCCTGGGATTCTGGTTCAAATTCTAGAAACGGGGGAAAAAAAAAAACCAAGAAAGGCAGAAAGAAAAGGAAAGGAAAAAGAAATTTATAATTTCTTACTTTACAAAATAATGCCCCATTAAGATATATTTGCATGCAAAAATGATACTAACATGGGATTTAATTATCTCTATTAATGTCCATTGCTAAAATTATGCTGTTTCTAACTTATTCCTTAAGTCTGTTTATTGGAATAGCAACTCTACCATTTTAAACTCAGTAGTAAAAGTGGCTGAGTTAAATATGGGTCAAATGTCTCAAATTAGCTCCAACTAAATCTTGCAAAGTATTAGTGGGTGCCATGAGGGACTGTCCACCAAGGAGGTGAAAAAGAAAAGGATTGATTGTTGGGGTAAAAGGGATAAACATTTAAAATTTTAATAGAGCTGGCAAAACTCTCTTCCTAAATGGAAGGCCAAATTATAATCACAATTAATATTAGACAAAGTCTACCACTCCCATCAGTTCTGAAAATCATCAAAGTGTAACATATTTATACGCGAGATTTGTGATGATTAGCAACTTGTTTAAAAACTGCGTATCACTGGTTCTTATAGAAATTTAGCATTTTTGATATATTTTCAGTCACCTCAGTGATAATTTTGTGTTATTATCTTTTGCTCACTTTTCTATGAATCTTTATCACTACTGGAGTCCTTGATATACTCTGAATTTCTGTAATTTTCCTCTTCTGTATGGACTAAATGTTTTTTTAACTGTTATTTTATTATTAAAAAAGGTAAGATTCTTTACCTATTTTTGCTATACCTTAAAGATAGATAAGAAATTAAGATAATTTACTAAAGGGTATAAAATGAAGGCTCCCTGGTGATCCTGATTTTTCTTCCAAATCCCAACAGTATAGGAAATTACTACTTTCACTATCTTTAAACCACCCAGAATATTCTATGTACTTATATTTACTTCGCGTGTGTCACTTTTGCTATAGAAACATTTTTTTCATTTGATGCATCAGTTTCTTTTGCTTTTCTAGCTTTTTGTTGAGCCAAGATTTTTAGATCTAAAGGTGACAAATTTGTATTTATTTCCAAATTTTTAGTAGTTTAGATCATTATAATTGGCCTGGCTTCAAACAAAATGAATTTTGAGTGTGTGTAAAAGATCTGACATGGAAAATATACACTTTTATCCAAGTGGATAGCTGTTTATTCAATAGTCTGAACTTTCCCAGTTGAATTTAAGTTAATTCAGTAAGTGGTAAAATGTATAATGGTCTATTTCTGGACACCTCATTTGAATCCATTGGTCCATTTGTCTAGAACTGTAGTAACATTAGATCTTTAACATCAGTCACAGTCTGATGGATTTTTGGTACATTCTGTGACAGGTCCACTGCTTTCCTCTTTTTCAAAAGTATCTTGTCCATTTTTGTACTCTTTTCATTCCATCTGTAAAATGTTCCTTAAAGCAATACTTGTATAATTTCTCTTTCAAATGAATCAATCGTGTCAAATTCTGGGAAAAATCCTACTGGAATTTTTGATTGGAATTAGATTAGATTTACAAGTTCATTGTGGGGTAAACAGAAATGTTTACTTGATTGAGGTCAGGAACTATATACATATCTTCATTATTTTGTAACTTTTTATGTCCTTAAATAAAATTTTGAGGTTTTGCATAGTTTTTTCATCTTGTATATATGTTTTTACAGCTCTAATATTTTAGAGCTTTTCTTGTTATTAGAAACATTCTCTCTAAACTGATCATTCCCCTGTAAAATCTCCAGCTCCATAGCATTTATATAATGGAATACAATGGATCTGTGCATAGATTTATCTTCTATCATACAAATCTGCTGAACTTATTAGCTCTAGGCTTTCCTGGTTTAAGCTGAAGCTGCTCATTTAAAATTGTGTCCTACATAGAAAACAGTACTTATTTCCATAACTGCTCAAAAAGTCATTCCCAAAATTTCTAGTGAATATTTGAGGAAAGACCAGTCAGGGAGGGCACTTTTATCTTTTCTTTGCATTCTAGGGAATGGCTCATGTTTTTCCCGAAGAGTTTTTATGTGAAACCTTAGAGATTGATAAATGTATGACATGTATATTCATTAATTTGCTTATTATTTAAAAAATTTTGCTGCCCATTTAAAGAATTTTAATTAAAAGGTGGAGTTGAATTTTAAGGGTCTAGGTTTCTCCTGAATTTGTGTTTGGTTAATTATGGCAAATTATGCCAAAATTTTTTCCTAATGGGATGAATTATACTGCTCATTATACAAGCTTTCACGATTGGGATGAAACCATTTGTTCAGCTACATTTTAAATTTTTATTGAATTTTAATTAAGTTGCAATAGCTATGTATAGTTAATGGCTACTATATTAAGTGATACATTTCCAAAATAAAGGAATATTATATCAAAGCTTCCGATTAACTCATTTAGTAGGTTACTAAAGGGTGTGGTCAGCTTAAATCATTTTAAAATATGTATATGCATAAAATACCTAAAATAGCGGTAATACCTACCTTTAATAAAGAAATTATAGTTGGATGTAGTATTTTCTATTTTCCATTTTTAAAAAATCTGCCTGCTGTCTACTAAGATTTTTATTTAGATTTTTGATTTCTAGATTTCAAATGACATTAAGTCACAGTATTTAATGTTGTTTCCAGGAGATTTTGGAATTAAATCATATTGTTACATACAAATAAGCTATGCAGCATCTCATTGATTTTGGTTTTTATTTTGATTGTCTGATTGAGACAGCGTCTCACTCTGTGGCCCAAGCTGGCCTTGAGCTCTCTAGTTGCCCTGAATTTATAAACCTCCTGCCTCAGCCTCCTGAGTGCTGGGATTATAGGCAGCACTACTACACTGGTTTCATTGATTTTGTTTGGAAGTGGAGATGACAGTTATCACCTCTCGGAGCAAGTGAATGGCAGAAGTAGGGCTTTTGAAATCCAAATGTCTTCAGGTAGCCATTTCAATCACAGAAAATTAGCATTTGCCATGAAAGTACAATAAAACTGGAGGTCTGAAAATGGTAAAGATACTTAGGAAAAGAGTTCATTCTTTTGAAAATTTAGACCAAATAATCTAATAATTGCATCCAGGTTAAGTTCTTATTTCCCTATATCTAAAACATTACAAAAAATTTTTCACGTTGCCAGGTTTAAGCTACAGAACCCTAAGTTCTGAGGGACAGTAGCTAACACAGAGCAGGTGCTGTGTATACTGCAAGGGTTAAAAACAGCCGCTGCTTATGCAGTCTTGGCTGTGTGCGTGACCTTGTCTTGTCACTCAATTTACCTTTGCCTCATTTAAAAAAATGGTAACACCTATATTAACCAAGGTTGCTGTGAGGTTTAAATGAATTAATGATGCAAAACATTTTAAGCCTTATTTAATACACAGGAAGTCAATGAACGTTAGCCATCTGTATTATGACCATGTGCTGGGTGCAAAAAGCTTTGCGGTGCTCTGCTTTCTTTATCACTGTCACTACAGAAGGAAGGTACAATTTCCCAGCTTTTAAAAACTGAGGGGACCAAGGTCCAGCAGCGGCATCGCCCACTCGGTCACACTGTGGATGGCTGTGGTGGGACTGGAACCCGGGCTGGGTTATTCAACAACTCTGCTCTACTATTTAGTTCTAGCAGACTTTTAAAAATCTGCTCAACAAACATCTTGGCATAATCTAAAAGCAACTGCAGGAAACATGCCAAAGAGTCATTTAAGAAACACAGACAACCCCCAAAATAACTGTTGAGGAAACGAATGAAACCAAAAGCAGAAGCTTCGATTATGGGTAGTTCCTCACCATGTAATACCCTGGCAGCAGCTTCTGGAGGAATTCCGCTTCTTTATGCTGAACGGTTTTGATGATAAACTCATCATCACTGGTCACAAAAAACAAGGACCCACTGGCTCCAGGGTTGGACAGCTCTATGAGCGGCTCACTGCAGATGGAATACTAAACGAGGAGATGAATCAATATTTTAGTTAATCATAATCACGATCAGCAGTAGTACTGTACAGTTCTGGGGATCAAGTTCATGCCTTGCACGGGCCAGGTAAGTGCTCTACTACTGAACCACACCCCCAGCCCTAAGCAAGCATCTAAATATACTTAACACTGCCGAGTTTGGTGGCACATGCCTGTAATTCCAGTATTGTGAGGCTTAAGCAAGGAGGATCATGAGGTCACAGCCATCCCAAGCTATCAGGGAATTCATGCTCAGCCTGATTATCTGATTGTATCTCAAAAAACACATACACAGAAACATGCATACACATGTGAGCATGCACATGCACACACAGAGTTAATAATGTTTATGATGCTTCTGTGGAGAACAACCATGGTATTAACATATCTTGATCTACTTGAAATTCGAACGTTTCTCTATATGCTTTAAAAGGAGGCTCCTGGTAAACTAAGAAGATTTTGGGGAGATTTCCAAAGATTTAGTTGATCTGTTCATTCTAATTAAACATGTTCCCCTTAGCCCCCTGTATCACATGATAGAATCATGAAAAAAAATCACATTTATACAATGAAGTAATTAAAATAGTCATGGTGCCAGCACATGGTTATAATTTCAGCACTCTGGGAGGCTGAGGCAGGAGGATTACAAGCTTAAGCCCAGCCTGGGTAATTTAGTGTCTGGGACTCCTGTATAGCTCAGTGTGAAGGCCCTGGGTTCAATCCTCAGTGCCAATAACCAAAAATCCATGTAAACTAAGATGCATTGTTTTCAGCAAGTGCACACAAAGTAGCAGTGTCCATCGTAATCTGTGCCATGAGTTCATCACTTGGACATTATCACCTAGTCCCCTTTCACTACATCAGCAGATTTCTCTTCTCTTAGTTTCAGCAAGTTCACAGTCAAATTCACTTCAAAGCCGTGACCAGATGACAAGGCATCTTTGTGGCAATGAGGACGCTGTGTGTCGCTAGCAGATGGAGCTGGGGCCAGGTGACAAGCTTGGTAGTGGAAACAGGGCTCTCCCTTCCCTGGGCTGGGTAGGAGTACCGGGCAACGCACACCCAGTACAATGGTACATGGTGACTCTCGCCTTCCTCCAACTATCTTAGAGAACAGAAACACTGTCTGCCTTGCTCCTGAGCCAGGCACTGGGCCATCGCCCTTGACTCCTGCATTTCTCCACCTTCCACATCCAAACCCCTGACTGTGCCTGCTTCCTTCATGCTGCACGCTCAATACCCCAAGTTTAGTGGTTTCACCACTTCCCGCCTGGGGTCTTAGGACAAGCTCCTCATCTCACTCTCACATGCTGTCCTCGCCTGCGCTCAGAGACCAGGGATCTTTCTAAAACACAAATCTGACGTTCTTTGGTTCAGCCCAGCTTTACAATTTTTTTTTTCTTTTTGGTGCTGAGGATTGAATTCAGGGTCTTCACATTGAGTTTACATGCCTGACTCTTTTAAAATTCTTTTATTTTGAGACAGAGTCTGAAAAAGTTACTAAGTTGCTCAGCGTGGGCTCAGACTTGCTATCCTACCTGTCTCCCTGTGCTAGCTTTTCCACTGTTCCTGCGGAAGTGCTCAGACCACAAGTGACCCGGCCCTGCTCTCAGCCGTTTCTCTCATCGGTCCCTCCTATACTTGAGCTCCAGCAAGACAGCAAGTTCTCATTTCTTAGATGTGCTGTACGCTCTCGACTCCCAGGTGTTTGCATTTTCCTCTGCCCAAGACGATCTCCATTTCACTACTGCTCACTCTTGCATCCAACCATGTGAAAATATTTACTGAGCATCTGTAATATCCCAGGTGCTCCTGAAGCTTATATCCCAGAAGAAGGAGACAATCAGTAAGCCACTAATGAAATTATATATCAGAATATGGCAAGCATGGACAGCGAGGCAACCAGTACCAGGAATGTCTGAGACTGGGTTGCAGGACATTTACAATAGTGCGGAGCTGGGGGAAAGCTCAGTGCCAGAGCTCATGCTTTGAAAGGCCTTGGGTTTCAATCCCATCCCAGATGAATAATAAATGAATGAATAAAGGCTTAAGCAGGTGGTCCCTGAAGCCTCGCTGGTAAGCTAGCATTTGAGCAGAGGCTAAAGGGAAAGGGGTGCAGGCCATGTGGATTTCTGGGGAAGGGGCATTTTAGGCACAAAAAAAGCATATGCCAAGGATCAGAACACTGATGGGTGCAAGGTGGTTGCCCAAGTGGATGAGCAGAGCTGAGAGGGATGAAACCAGAGGGGCCCAGCAAGCTGAGCATGGTGGGTGCTGATGGCCACCATTGGGGCTTTGGAGGGCTTATGAGTATTTAAGACCTCATCATACAAAAATCTATATGGAGGGAGAAGGAGAGAGGAAGGAGAGAAAAGCCAGGAGAAAATTATTAAAAGGCAGTTTCTAGGTGTACTTTATTTTGCTTTGGCAGCACCATGGGTGAGGGAAACAAAATCTCCAAGAGGAAGAAGCAAGTACCACACTTGCTGACGTTCAAAGACCCTGCCACCACCTACTGCCCACTTCCTCTACTTCTCACTGGCCTTGCTTCTGGACATTCTCTTGCTGAGCAGCAGTGGAGCTCTTATGGATGAGTTGAAGGTTAGTTAAGTAAGGAAGACAAAAGTAATCATCAGACTGTGAACAAGAAGCCATAAAATCCAAGCAGCCACGTGCACAGGGTGCCACGTGGAAGGGTGATTCGTGGAAAGGGCATGAGATAGAACCACCTGGTATTTGTAAAATGTTGCCCTGCCAGGTGCTAGTTACGTGACTCTCAGTTTGTGGCTCAGCATCGCACTTTTGAAACCTCAGCAGAGTGAGCACTTAGTTGGCTGTTATTATTGTATTACTTATATGATCACAGGCAGGAGAGAGAGGCACCCAGGCTGCCTTGCTGCACACACTGCCTGGGCAGCAAGAGGTGCTAGCAGCACCCTAGGAAGTGTGGAGCTTTTCACTGGCATTCATATGGGGAGAAGATTCCCCTCAAATATGCTAAGACATCCTGAGCGAAGCAAGACAAAAGGGGGGTCTGTCACATAATCATGAATTCAAGACCCTGGAAGATACAAGTGTGGACCCTACATTCCTTAAAGGCAGACCTGGGCTCTCTTTAGACATTTTGACTCTTCATTCTATGGCATTTAAATTTTGGGTATAGATCCTTCTTATGGGTAGAAGCAGATTTTAGGAAAGTATAAAATCAACAAAGGATGCAGAAAGTAGAGGCTGCCATACAGAGAAATTACAGGATGATCCAAGAAAAACTGTCTAGAAAAAACCAGACTCCAACCTGGACATCTCTCCTGATCAAAGTCGCAAATTCTACCACAGGGACACATAATGGAGATGATTTTATCGATTACTTGTCAAATATGTCTTTATTGTGCAATTTATAAACAAGTAAATGGCTTCAATTCATTCTGATAACTTTTGGGGATGAATAATAACACATCATCAACATGCAATCAACAGGGATTAGGACCCTGATCAGGAACCTGAACATTATGCTCTGGCGTCCTACAGCCTCTCACCCCACAACTTGGATACCACGTCCTCTTCTAAGCAACCTTTAAAATGCTGCCTTTTCAGAGCAAATAAAGAGGAGAGATGGGAACATTTTAATTAGCTACAATCAACAAGCTCCCATGTGTGCTCCTGGGTTTTATGCACCTTCCAGGCACTTTTCATTTGTGCAAGCTGCTCAAATGCATTCATTTTCTCGCTTCTATTTCCTGCAAGGCCTTCCTGCTCTACCCACTGGAAAGAAAGCAAAGTACATCCCAGCTGGGCCCTGCCAATGCAAATTACCAGTGTAAACTTGTGCCATGTGGTGGAGATAATTTTACCTGCTATTTCTTTCCCTCATAGTATAAAATATTCACTTTACTGTCTTTCTTCCAGGTTCAAGTAAGCCTGAAAAGTCTCCTATGAGTTGGATTTCTGATTATCTGGCCTGAGATAGAGAAGGAAAGAATCAGTGGCCTGGGCCTAAGCAGACATCGGAATGCCCTGGGGCCCTGGGCCTGCCTGAGGATGAGTTTGTCTAGGAAGGAATAGGGAAGAAGCAGCATTTGCATTGTTTACACACAGACACACCTTCGCTCTATGTCCAAATTATGCATGTTTCAACATGAACCCTGTAATCAGCACACACATGGTGCATTTTAATAACACTAAGAACATAAACAGAACAATTCAGGCAGAAATCTAGATCTGACAGCACAGAACTAAGTAAAAACACACACACACATCACAGGAAATCAGCATCAAATCTATCTATGGAGTTACCAGTGGCTAAATAATGGTCCTGCCTCTCTCCTACAGTGGATCTTCACAAATCCAGGGTGGATAGTTCCAGTTTGACAAATGCCAGGATGTACGTGCGATCCAACTAGATAGCCTTTATTTGCTTACGCACAGTTTTTCAAGTGCTGTCTTACTTAACTGTTCTGTGCTTTGTTTGGAATGAACTCTTTCCAAATGTGTTTCAGTAGAGGTGCTCAACGTCTGTGTTCTTTAGACAATTCCAGCTGGTGAGAGGTTTCAGAGCAATGGGGGAAACTACTGCTATGGCCTTGCGCTGCTCCCACCAATGTGGGCAACCCTTCAGTGACTCTAGCCTCAGATTATGTTGCTTGTGGGCTAAACTCTCTTGAGAGTTATATCTGATTTTCCAAAGCATGTGAAACATGCAAAGGCTCTTTCTTCATCTTCTATAGCCCAGATAACTAAGTGGTTACCCCAGATAAAGTGCTTTGTGAGTGAGCTTCAGGAATCTCCAAGACTGCCTCAGTCCTGGGCGGTGGGTGACCCCAGTGTAAGGGAAGGAGGCCACAGCTGTTGGGGAACCAGAAATCGTATTTAATAGCACCACTACTCTTTTGTTTCTTGCTGGCCCCACAGATGCAGACAGTCACTAAACTGTGTGCGAGGAGAATGAAGGAGAAAAATGGAACAAAGAAAATTACATCTACCTGCCTGGCTCTATCTCCTTCCTTCTTTTTTATTATGCAAACCTTCAAACTATGTAGATGTATAATTAACATCTGAGAGTCTATTTCCAGCTTCACCAATCATGAGCTCATGATTAATATTTCTCCTTCTATACCTCTAATTACTCTCCGCCTGCTTCCATCAGATCCTTTTCTCCCTTTTGCTTGCAATTTAATTTTTGTATAATAGTGCTATTGAGTTATGTCACATACCATATAATTCACCCTTTTATAGTGTAAAGTATTTTCAATTAATTTTTAATTGACAAAACCATGTCCTTATGGAGGAAAACATAAAGTTTGTATGTATACAAGTGAGGTGGTTAAATCTAGTACCCTTCGCCACTTTGTGTGTGTGTATGTGTGTGTGTGTCTGGAGGGAGGTAGGAAAATGTAAAATTCTTTCTTTCTCTATTCTTTTAGATACTTTCAAACATAACATATTGTAATTGATCATAGTCACCAGATAGGACTCCTAACTGAAACTTTGTATCTTTTGGCTAACATTTAGAATTCTTTTGGAGTAAACTGCAGACAACAAATAATTTTATCTATAGGTATTTCAGTATATTATTCTAAAAAACAGACTCTCCTTTTAAAATAGAACCAAGATATAATTATCCTACAAAATATGTTTTCAACATCATCCAATATCTCTTATAGCATGTGAATCTCTTATAGTTTAATATCTAGTCAATTGAACTGTCTGGCTCTCTTAACATCTCAGATCAAAACTCTCTCCTTCAGTGATCCTGGTCTACTTCAAGTCCTAAACGCTAGTGCATTCATATCCCTGGTCTCACAGTCCTTCCAACACCCAGGCCCTCAACACTGAAATGCTTGTCTCTTCTCTTCTAACTAATTGAAGGCCTTGTCATTTTTAAGACATAGTTGAAACTATACCACATCCAAAGGGGACCTCTGAATCATCATTCACACAGAGAAAGATCACCCTGTCCTCTGAAATCGGGAGCATTTGATGTTTTCCTTCAGTCTTTTTACTTAGTGTTTCGTAGAGTTGGTTGTTTTTCCACATAAACAAATTAACATCCCACTATGAGTCTAACTTCTTTGAGTATTTTTGATTCATCATGTTTGAATTTCCCTGTAATGAAACACACAGTATTCTAGACATATAGGTGTTCAAAATACTGAATAATTTCAAAATTTACCATCTATAGGGACAGAGACTTTAGCTCTGAGGACCCATTAGTTTCATTGACTGTGCTCCTATGTAATACTCCAACTCCATTATGGAAATATTTTTTTTTGTTCAAAGACCCATTACAAAACTCATGTCAGCGGTGTAATAAATGGTTTAGCAAAAGACCTTCCGCCAAGACAGCAGTTTTGTGAGCTTGGGCTGAGTGAAAGAATGCAGATCGCAGCCTGTGAACAGCCTAAGCACAAGCAATCACTCTGTCACAGTGATAGTATCAGTGTTCAGAATGTAGGTCCAGGGTGGGTCTGTGGCTGCTAAGAAATTCAAGGACAATTGAGGAGGAGAACCCACTAATTCCTCGGATATGGTACAAGACGAGAGATCAATGCTGCTTTCCATAATATAACACTAAAACTCCACTAGGTTTCCTGATGCATTGGCTAACATGGTGATCTCCATAATGGCTAAGAAACCAAAGAATCTTGGGTTTTCCTTTATCTTTGAGTCAGGGTCTCATTAAGTAGCTCAGGCTAGCCTTCAACTCATGGTGATTTTCTTGCCTCAGCCTCTTGAATCCTAGAAGACTACAGGCATGCAGCACCATGCCCTGCAAAGCAAAGGATCTTGCCGGTCACCCACACACAGAGCAAATGCATTTGTGAACTGACAGGCACCTGATACTTCAGTTAAGCTGGATGGTGTGACAGAGCACAATGTGGACAGATATGAGGTGCAATTAACAATTATGGTGATCGTTTAAATTTTATTATAGTAAGACATTGCCATGAATCCCCCTCATAATACAGCCTCTTGCTTCAGACACACTTCTGTTGTTCTTGCCACTTTCTGAAGTAGTTCCGAACGCTTCTTCCATTAATGTCTTTAATTGTGTTGTGGGCGCCTTCATATTCTGACTTGCTTAAAAACATTTACCTTTGATAGTCATTTTGACTTTGGGGAAGAGCTAGAAGTCACCCTATGCTACACGCGGCGGATAAGGTGGGTGAGGACACAACACAAGGTTATTATGAGCCTCTTTCCACGGGAGGCGCCCAGCAGCAGCACTCACTGCATTTGTGATTACGTCTTGTAAAGACAGAGAGGACGATCACCACCACTTGAGAAAGCAGCAAGGAGGGGGTAAATGTGTTAGAAGCAATGGGAGTACTCAGAGGGGGATAATGGCAGTGCGTCTTTTACTGCAATGAATTTAAAATAGTTCAACAACTCTGTATCTTTTGATCAGCCCTTGTACAATTAAAGGCAGCAGGATGAACTCCCCAGTCTGTGGGGAACACACACAGCAGACTGAGACCTAGCAGTTGCGCTGATACAGCGACTGGGCCAGTGCTAAGAACTGCAAATCTATGGTGTCTCTGCAGTTGGTGAGAAGTTCAAGGACAACTGAGAAGAATCCATTAATTTCTAGGGTGTGGGATAAGGTGAAATATCCTCAGTCTGCTATGTCCATCACTCCACAGGCTGAGATGTTCATTCCTTTGCTGATTTTAACCTTAGAAAATTGCTTTCTTTGGGAAGGTCCTTTTCTGAATAACTTCATACACCTGACATGAGTTTCCTAATGCATCATTAAGTCAGTCTATGCAGGCCTCACTGCCCTATAGAGACTCAGCCATTTGCCTTGAGAAACCAGCACTATTTCAGTGGGCAGAAATCACGTGATTTTCTCAGGGACCAGCTAAAGAAGATCATTTATAGGTTTTCATCTGCATAGAATAGAAACAAGCTTTGAATTTTATCATAATTATCCACATTATAAAATCTATTTTAAATATTTTTTGTTGTAAATGACAAATGTTTACTTTCTCTGAAAAATATTATTAAAAGATCTGGCTAAAATCTTATTAAGATCATTTAGAATGGGACTGACAAATATGTGATGACATCTTTACTATGGTTTCTAAAATACCAATTTTGAAGAGCCTGAGGGTGTTAGCAGTGATTAGAGTATGATAAACAATTTCCTTCTCATGATAGAAAGGAATGTTGATTGTTAATACAGTGAGGAGTTCAAGCTCTTTCAAAGGAATGGATAAACCTCTGTAGTTATATCAGAGCTTGCAAATCTATTGTGCCTGTTTCTCCTGTGTGCCAGAAGGAAGACAGGGAAGAGACAGATCTGAAGATAAAAACATGTCCTTGTATCTGTAAAAAATATGTTTAAAAAGAGCCTGCATGCAACCATCCAGATTGTTTAGAATTTTATTTGGATTTGTAGGTCAAGGTGAAAATGGCTGTGAACCAAGTTAAGTCTGAGATAAACAGTATAAATAAAGTAACCAAAATAGATTTTCAAATAGAATATAATCTGGAAAATTCACAGAAGTCTTTAAAACTAATTGTAATATATCTGTTAGAATAATTATTTAAAGTAGCAACCAATATCAGTTATTTAAGTAGGAATTACCATTGCAGATTTTATAACTATCAGTTGAAGCTGCAGTTAAATCCTATTTCCTAAAGCTAAATTTATATTCATTATAAAACCTGGAGCTTTTACTATGATCTTGAGTTTTATAAAATAAGCACAAACATGTGTCACTGTTGCTATGAGACAAATGTTTACATTACACATTTCTTTAGGAGGAAGGAAACTGACAGGTTCTTACCAAGTAATCATCAGGCTTGATACCAAAAAGTTCTCTGAAGTACCGGAATGCCAGTGGAGCATATGTCTTAAATCTGAAGTCTGGGTAGTGATGTGCTGGGGTCAGATTGCTCCCTTCACTGCAGTTAAAATATTAAAAAAGAGGCAGGAGGAAAGAACATTAGCAAAACCGTTTCAGTGCTAGCCCTATTAGTCCTGGGACAATTTCATTTCTAGAAAAAACACCCTCTGTTAAGTAAGTGGGTCTTTCAAGGACGGGATCACAAAGCTCAATTGCCACAGGTGAAAACAGACATTGCACTGACTTGGTAAGACCATTCAACGTGGTGCTCCCTGCTAATCAGTGTGCTCCAGCCCCAAAATACTGTGTCCTCTCCCTTCCCCCTTGCTGGAAGGAACATTCCGTCTTCCATGTGAAACTACACTGCAATGTTTTAATAAGATCCAGGGCTAGTATGTGAAGCATTTTCAAAAATCTATTTTTTTTACTACGAATTTTGATACTGAATAAACATTTGTAATCAGGAATATTTGAAAAAATCCTTAACAGATCCTACTAATCAGTGAGAATGATCACATAAGAGACAGGATCTTAATCTGAACTCTTTCTTAGATCCAGGTCCCCACTCCCCAATGAACTACTTTAGGGATTTGAAAACCCAATTTCCATTTTAACTATATTATTGCTTTTTGTCTTTTCTCGGGCTCATTTTTGAAAAGTTTCATAACAACACTTAGGAAATATAAGAGAATAAAAGGTTAATTAGTGACTATCCATGAACCTAATGTGCTGCTTAAGAAATAAAACATCATTCATAGAGGTGCAAACCCTTTCTGTACTTTTTATTGCTTGAATCCTCGGGGACATTCTCTGGTCTTTATTTTAATGGTTATCAATCTCATTCTTTTTATTCTTTACATCTACAAATTATATTTTTATCTTAGGCAAACTACTTATGTTACTGAGGGGAAACCTAACTAAAATCTCTAGCTCTACTTGCTTACAGTTGATTTCAAAAGCATTAATCTTGGAGGTCAGTAGCTAAGTTGAACTAATTTCCCCACTGGTCTTGTTGTAGATGGCAAGGCTGACGTCATTAAACAGGTTAAAGCTATTCTTCTGTGAAAGCTGCCTTTCATTGTCTTCCTTTGTTTTCTGATGAAAGATACCTTTTGCACCTAAAGAGTAACTGTGTGGTCAACTATTCCTGAGAAAAAGACCTAAAAGATGTGGGCAAAACACTTCATAATCAGTAAATTTTCTTTAGATTTATAGAACCTGGAACATCTGGTGACCTATAAATAACAGCAGCACATGGGTCAGAAAGCTGACCACTCAAAATCTGTGACCACCCTAGAGCCTGCCTATCTGAGGTGACTTCCCAAACACCCTGTATGCAGGAGCCTTGCACCTGCAACTCTAAGCAAGATACTGTTTGTTGACAATCACCTCCATCTTCTTTTGTTTGGTACATTTCCAAATCTTTTTCTCTGCCCAAACAACTTGTCACCTTTTGAGCAACAGACATGGGTACAGTGACACAATTAAAATATACTCAATAATTTTCATAGTGAACAATTCTAACAATGCAATAAAATACAGTTTTATGTAAAGATTCAAAATCTCTTTGTATTGCATTTCAGGTGAGATACTGAAGTCAGCATACAAACACTTGGAATCTAAAATTTAAGTTTGTTGAGGTCAATTCAGTTTTGGGTATCATTGCCTGATATATGGTAGACAGAGTCTGTCAGGCGAAAGAATGAATACTCAGGATAATGCTAATATAGTAGAGTTGATTTTTAAAAAATTAAGTGTATTGGTACACTTTACATATACACAAAACATCATATTCATCAGAGGGAATTTGTACCTGTATACGATATATTTTGATTCCTCTTTTTTTCCCCAATTCTCTCCTATCCCTTCAACTTTTCTTCCTCTCCCTATTTAAAAAGCTTTGTTTCTAGTTTATCCTTTTTAAGAAGGAAGGGACAAAGAATAAAAATGATAAAAAAATATAGTGGATTCTCATAAGGAGATTCAGTTCATAAGTCACCATAGATGGCAAAAATTCAGCATAATAAATAAAATCACTAGTGAAAATTATTTAGGAATGATGTGTTTCATATAGTCAATACAGCCAGCTCTTCTCCCTGCAAGGTCCCAGGAGGCTGTCACTTTTGGTGAGGACCAGAGGATGGGGCTGGCTTGTGCAGTTAAGGACACGTCATGCAGTAAGTGCTTACTCTCCCCAAACTCCTTGGGGAGACCAGATCCAGGGACTCTGCATACTACGTGAGTGCTCTGCCAACTGAGTCTGACCTCTAACCCTACTACATGCTTGTCTTTAAAGGTGAGATTTCATGGGGCAGTAGCAAAGGTTTCACATTAGGAGAGGGACACAAGAACTAAGGTCCACTGAGAGAAGAGCAACCTCTACTTCAGCAAGGAATAGCCCCAAAGTATCCACTTATATCAATGGTTATCATTTCCTGTGCCAAGTACAGCCAACAATTCTTAATGCGTGTGTGATGTCCCGGCAATATATCCAAACATTTTCTCAGTTCGTATTTTGGAATTTTTGAAGGAAAATGTGGTCAACTGCAGGTCCCCTATGACTTTCAAAAGGAGTGATTTGGGAACTTATGTGATACATAATAATTTGTAAGTATAGGTTATGTAGAGATAAGAGGTAGAAGTATTATAGACCGCTAAGTTAGATAAAAGTACAGGCAGTCGGACAGGGTTAGGACCTTGAGGGCATCAGTGCAGAGGATGAGATATTACAACTGTGATTAGAAGCATAATCATTACAGATCAGACCTCAAGATAAAGATGGAATGACCAGGCCTACATGCCTCCAGAGCAGTATACCATAATTGGTATCATCTGGTCTAGTAAAGTCTAGATAGACATCAGTCACCCAAGTGGGTGACCAGGACTTCCTGCTTCATGCCTTCCAAAAAAGTCCTTGTTCTTTCCACACATACTTGCTATGTGATCTGCTTCCCCATTAGATTATTATCACCTTAGCAGCTATACTTGTAATCTTATTGGCTGATCAGTTTTGTCCCACGCTGAATCCATCTTGTGATTTTGCTCTATAAAACTGCCTTGGAGATGTGGGCTCATTGGTAACCCATTTTCTGCCTCTCAGGAGCTATCGCTCAGTAAATATTTCCTATTCTTTACCTCTATTGTTCCTTAGAAGTCCTTTGATTTAGAAAACATGAACTTGGCATATCTGACATCCAACAGGTTGAGGGTTATAATATTTCCTCTGTATCATTTAGAGGTCCGATGTCAAAAACAAAGAGGTCCAAAGTGACCTCTACATTTTTTTTTCTTTTGCAAGCAAGTAAAAACAATCCCAGTGCCAGGAATTCTGAAGGAGGCTGCTTTTAGTGTACTAAGAGTGCTGCCGATTTTTTACTTCTTTTTTTCTTCTTTTTGTTTTTACTTTCTCATACAATTCAAGTCATTTATTCTGAGAGCCGATTTCCTTCAGTATTTAAAGAGGTAAGACAAAACACTCATGTATTTTTGTGGGATTTCTCTTATATGCAAGTTGGGAATCCAAGATTCCATCAGAGAAGAAATGGCATTTATTATGCCTACAAGTTATCCTAGAGATAAACTAGTAAAACAACCCACATGTACAAAGTTATTCTTTAGTAGAACTGTTTACGACCACAAAAGATTGGAAGCAACCTACCTACCCTCAGAAGAGGATGATCTATTATGCAGCTTTAAAAGGAATGAGGATGCTTATTATGTACTGACTTGGCAAGATCTCTAAGACAAAGTGTTAAGTGAACAAAGCATGATGCAGAACACGACGTATAATACACCACCATTTGTATAAAAAAGAAAAAATTCAACTGCATGTATATTTAAATGTATATGATAGAAAATGATATCACAGAGTTTTATTGGATCATTGAACAGAACTGTTTGCAGTATCATTGTTGGAATGTCCACTCTACAAGCTTTAATTTTGTGACTTGAACAATTATTTCTAAGATGGCAACATGTAATCCATTAACTAGTGATTTCCTACTGCGCATTTTTTTCTTCTGTAAATCTGTATAACTTGTACCCCTTCACTGTTTTTTTTTTTTTTCTTGTCTCCTTAAATTAAAAAAAAAAAAAAAAAAAAAAAAGAAAATCCTTGAAGGAAAAACAAGTCATTCCTAACAGTGATAATTGGAGTTGGACACTGAGAGGGTCGGGGAGGCAGAGGGAAAAAGGAAACACTTCTAACAGTTTTATTTTTAGAAGCAGGAGAAACTCTACTAAGGATACTTATTTATAAATTAAGTAATTTGTTTCAAAGTTAGGGAGGGACTGAAAGGCATCATCGAGGGCTCCTCTCTTAAATAGAGAGAGTCCTACATTCAGCATCTTCACAAGAAGCTTGTTTCCTTCTGCATATTTAATTTTTTCCAATGAATAACAAATGCCGCTTAAATGAAGGAACCTCTAGACAAGAAAATGCAAATGAATGCGGTTGCTGGTCCTGGCTGCCAGGAGGTAAGGTACTAAAGAGCAGCCGGCAGACTCTGCCTTGTCCTGTTGACGTTACACCTAACGTGGGCACTGGCCCACAGACATCAGGGCGGACTCTGCCCACCAAGTGCTTAGCGCTTGCCACCATGACAGAGCTGCAGGCAGGTAAATGTGGTGACTGCTATGAATCCATTGCCGGCTGCTCACAAGCTTGCTGCGCTTGCAGCTAAGGTTACCCTGTCAGAACCTGGGCTCAGCACCCAGACTTACTGATCGAAAGTAAAGTGTGAAGAAGAGCAAAGCTCCTCACAGCTGAAGATTCACCTCACACTTCTTTAACACATAAATGCAGTGTGGAAAAACGAATAAACAACCCACCCTCTTGTCTTGGCAAGAACAAGACTTAGGAAATTGCAGCTGCAGGAGTTTGCACAGTGAGTCTAGAGCTTTGGCTCCTGTGGGCCTGTAACATTTCAACAACAGAAATTTGGGAGCCAATATTGGTTTTCTGACTTTGTTTTGCCAACCAAGAATCTAGAAAACTAAGCAAACACGTAATAATATTCTAAAAGGGTATTTTATTGCTTAAAAAAGTACGAAAGTTTG